ACCTATAGGCCGTATAGATAGGAGCATCGGCCTGTGTACTGGGGGGGGCATTGTGCATCCAGCTGAGGGTTTTATAGCGCTTTCTTTGAAACAATATAAAATAAAAAGAAAAGTCCTACAAATATTCCAACAAAATATCATTTGGATCTATAAGGACCAAGAGGAAAGGCGATTGCTTGCAGGTATCGGTGGCGCCGCCGACGAAACACAGCAGCTCGTGACCGAGAAAAATAAGAGGAATTTAAAAAAATAAATGAACATAAATATAAAAATGAAGGCAAATATTTAATATATTTATTCGTTTTCTCCCTCGATCGCGAGCTCTTAGGGCCCGGCCGCGGTGACCCTCTCTAGCCATTGAGCCCACCACCCATACCAGTGCAGAACTCTGCTTCTTTTTTCTATGAATTTCTCATTAAATTATGTATTTTCAGGTTTATTTAATATTAATATAAGACTATGTTTCTGTTTTTGCATGCGTATTCATATAATATGGGGCTGATCTGTGTAGATCGCTCTCTCTGTTCTTGCGGCTAATAACCATAGCCAGGCGAGACCATACTGGTATCTGTATGAAAATCATGAAATATTATATTCTAAATAAATGCAAAAAGGATAAATAAATTTATTTTTTAAGCTATTTCGTCTCAATATATATATTTATATGACGAAGACTGCTGCTGGGCTCCCCAGGGTGTATATAACAATGCAGCTTCCTACATAGCTAGCAGTCGTGTTGCTAGGTGCTGATGATACGTTTCTTGTATTTGTTTGTTTACTTTTTAAATATAAATATTAAGTGAAAAGTCAATAGAACAATACGTGAAATTCAGTTAAATAGAGAAATAGAAAATAGTAATGAATGCCACTATACACAGGCCAGTGTATACTTTGTATAGTTTCTTCTCTATTAAAATTTTTTACTCTGCTTTTCTCCGTTTTCTTTTTCTAGTGATCTTGCGGGCTTCTATTATATTACCTTTAACTTCGTGCAGAACCAGTGGTCCTCTTGTTTATTCCCGCATAGTTTAGTTTACTGTGTGCAGGACCAGTGGTCATTTCAGCAGGTTTCTATTAGCTCACCTTTAACTGTCTAGAATACCAATGGTCACTTCATATTGCTTGTATTACATCACCTCTAACTGTGTGGAAGACCAATGGTCCTTCCCGCTCTTTTCTATTAGCTTAACTGTATCTGTGTGCAAGACCAATGGTCCTCTCACATATGAAGTAAAACTAACGAGGAAAGCAGAAACAACAGCGTGAAATTCTTTTACAAAGAAATATATTTTTATAATACAGCAGGTTAAACTTGTGGTGATAGAAAAAAAAATTATGCTTCAGTGTATGTGTCGTCGATGCTACTCTTATTATCCTCCTTATAAAAACCCACATAATAAATAAGTATCATTAAAAATAATATAATATAAAAAAAA